AACTATGCGACATGCTCCGGAGAGAGTATATGTGTCTACGGGGCGAAATATGTGGAAGTCGAGTGCTGGCTAAAAACCATCCAAACGGACGAGAGCATTGAACAATTATTAATAAGAGGACAATGCGGAAATATAAGCCAGTACAAAAAAAAAAATTGTCATCAGGTGGTGAAAACCATCGAAATGATCACTTCGGGTGACATTCTATCATGTTTAGGTAAGTGTGATGAAGTAATTATTTATTGTGTACAAATATGATTTAAAAACCACATCTTTTTACCTCATCCCTGCCACAAAATTCCCATGTTATTACACTGGACCAGGTGTGTGTTACGTAACTGCACCTGCAGTGAAGGAGGGTTGCATCCGTGAGAAAAAAAACCGGTTTCTCACGCTATCGCACATTGTTCCGAGATGCCTTGCACAGAGCAGTTCAAATACGGCATTGCTACTCTCGAGTGTGGTACATCTTTTTTTTTCTCCCTTGGATTTCAGTTTTAGTGAATTTATACATGTCCTGGATAATAATATTTACATGGAATGATGTGTGTGATTTTATGTGATTTATTTACAAGGATGTAATTTTTTTTTCAGACGCCACAACTGTAACCATGAACGCAGTCGAAGAGCGTAAGTCAATGTCTTAAAAGTGTCTCAGATCAGTAGAATCTGTTTTTCGTACTTAGAGATTGATAAGTTATATAAGTTCTACAGGTCCGATGATGCTTTGTGATCGTTGTTGATGATTTTGATATTTATTGTTACGATTAACATCTTGTTGATTTTACAAAATTAGTATTTCATACTATTTAAACCTATTAGTCTATTTTAAGTTCTTTTTTTATATTTATATTAACATCTACAGATACACGTACGTTCGAGTCAACCAAACACACGGACTCCTCTCCGATGACCTCATCCACCGACATCGGTACACACGGAGACGTATCACTAACACCTCATTTCACATCACTACCCACCGCCGTTACGAACAGAGAAGACACGACGAACTTGACCATCCTCTCGTCCATGCCGCACGGAAACTTGACTACCACAGTCCCCTTCCGTAACAATTCTAAGACGGACATGACGACTCCACTCGCGTCCTCCGCTGAGACACATGGACGGACTATGAACATCTCAACTACCCCCTCCCCCGACATGACCTTTGTAAACACATTCCCCTCCCCCAGTTCACGCAGAGACGACACATTTAACAGTACATTCTCAACCCCCAGCAGTACGTCAACACCGGAAATCACACCCGATTCAGCGAGGGACACAACCCCTAGTGCCAGTTCGGACAAGGGTATCGAAAACGAACTATATATTCCTTATTATTCTTATTCCTCTATTAGTGCTAATGTGTGTTTGTGTATTGCGATTAAAAAATAGAGAAAACGTAACCTTGTAAGTACTGATATTGAAATGGATTGTATAGACGAAGATGACATGACAGTATTCGAATTACGTACTAATCAATAATAAATAGCATGATTAAATACTGTATTGTTCAAATTTTATCAAACATATAAAGAGATTCAAGAACTATATGACACGTGTTTAACAGAATTATAAAGATCCGTGATTTGTACTTGTAAACTGTACTAATCTTTTATCTTGTTTGTTACTAATATGAATGTGTATTTGAGTAACATATTGTCGACTAATATCCTTGTTTTTCGCATGAGTTGACACTGATGAAAAGTATCAAACGTAAGTACCCTTCACACATTTTGCGATCAATGGATTGATTATATTGTAATTTGTTAATCACTCAGATTGTACATAAAATGAGATATGTTTTTAAATGTCATTAATTTTTAGCTCTACTGGTCAGAGACCAGAAGAGCTTATGCGATAGTAATGCGTCCGTCGTCCGTCCGTCTGTCTGTCTGTCTGTCCGTCTGTCTGTCCGTCTGTCTGTAAACAATTTTTCAAAACGCTACTCCTCCTACAATTTTTGTCTGATTTCAATATAACTTGGCACACAAGTAGACTACACTAAGATACATAGAATAGTGCATGGGTTTTTGATTTCAATGAACGGTGTTGCCATGGTTACTAAAAATAGAATTTTCTGTGAAATTCCTTTAAAACGCTACTCCTTCTACAGTTTTGGTCTGATTTCAATATAACTTGGCACACAAGTAGACTACACTAAGATACATAGAATAGTGCATCGGTTTTTGATTTCGATGAACGGTGTTGCCATGGTTACTAAAAATAGAATTTTCTGTGAAATTCCTTTAAAACGCTACTCCTTCCACAGTTTTGGTCTGATTTCAATATAACTTGGCACACAAGTAGACTACACTAAGATACATAGAATAGTGCATCGGTTTTTGATTTCGATGAACAGTGTTGCCATGGTTACTAAAAATAGAATTTTCTGTGAAATTCCATTAAAACGCTACTCATTCTACAGTTTTGGTCTGATTTCAATATAACTTGGAAAGTAGGCTACACTAAGATACATAGAATAGTGCATCGGTTTTTAATTTCGATGAACGGTGTTGCCATGGTTACTAAAAATAGAATTTTCTGTGAAATTCCTTAAAAAGGCTACTCCTTCTACAGTTTTGGTCTGATTTCAATATAACTTGGCACACAAGTAGACTACACTAAGATACATAGAATAGTGCATCGGTTTTTGATTTCGATGAACGGTGTTGCCATGGTTACTAAAAATAGAATTTTCTGTGAAATTCCATTAAAACGCTACTCATTCTACAGTTTTGGTCTGATTTCAATATAACTTGGCAAGTAGGCTACACTAAGATACATAGAATAGTGCATCGGTTTTTAATTTCGATGAACAGTGTTGCCATGGTTACTAAAAATAGAATTTTCTGTGAAATTCCTTAAAAACGCTACTCCTTCTACAGTTTTGGTCTGATTTCAGTATAACTTGGCGCACAAGTAGACTACCCTAAGATACATAGAATAGTGCATCGATTTCTGATTTCGATGAACGGTGTTACCATGGTTACTAAAAATAGAATTTTCTGTGAAATTCCTTAAAAACGCTACTCATTCTACAGTTCTAGTTTGATTTCAAAATAAGTTGGCACACAAGTAGACTACACAAAGATACATAAAATAGTGCAATGGTTTTTGATAAGTACATACCAGTAGAGCTACAGTCTCGACAGAGACTTCTGGTTGAAATTAATAATTACAGTTCGTGAAGCGTACGGGCTGGGTGTGGCCGGGCTCTGCCTGGTCATCCTGTTAATTGCTGCTTGGGTGCTCAGGGTCGTCCTACGGAAGATGGGGGTCCACTGCAGGGTACCATTTAAACGCGGAGGGACACCAGAGAGGTAAGTTCTCTTTCTTTTTCTCTCTTGAATTACATCAATATACTGCAAAATATCGCTGTAGAGTATATATAGATCTGACATGTTGTCGCTCTCACGTTTGATTCTCAAATGACGAGAAAATTTCCATCTCCAATATATACACTCACCCATGATACGTCATGGAAAAAAATCCTCAAACCTACCACGTGACTTCTCCAGACCACTCACGTCCTTGTTCCATTATTCTCCGCTGTCTCCTTCAGGTCAACCAGATGTCCTCTCAGAGCTGGCTCCATTGTTCTCCGTCATGGTCATGGCTCCTCTAGGTCAACCTGCGGTCCTCCCTGTCCTGTCTCCATTGTTCTCCTTCAGTTCAACCCGCGGTCAGCCCTGACCTTGCTTCATTGTTCTCCGCCACGGTCATGTGTCCTAAAGGTCAACCCGCGGTCATCCATGACCTTGCTCCATTGTTCTCTGTCACGGTCATGGCTCCTAAAGGTCAACCTGCGGTCATCCCCATTGTTCTTTCCATTGTTCTCCCAAACAATAGGCTCATTGTTTAACCCCCCCCCCCCAATATGTCGACTATACTACTCACCAAAAACTTTAACTTGTTCACTCAACCGTTAAATGTAGGTCAGATTCAGCATCCAAAGCAAGCCCGTTAGTATGCATCCATTGATGTATCATCAATGCAAGTTTGGTCAACATAGAGCTTATAGTTACTTGGAAATTAAACCTGCACCAAAAACTTTAACCTGTTCACCCAACTGTAAAATGTAGGTCAGATTCAGCATCCGAAGCAAGCCTGGAAGTATGCATCCTTAGATGTATCATCCATGCAAGTTTGGTCAACATAGGGCTTATAGTTACTTGGAATTGAAACCTACACCAAAAACTGCATTAAAAATGTTAACCTGGTCATTCCTTTGCTGAAACTACAGCATCTGAAACTTTGACTGGTATAATGAAACACACTAGAACCATCTTCCATGCATGTTTAATCAATATAGGACATAGAAGTACTTAAAAAGAAAACTGCTCCAAAAAACTTAACCTTAACCTGGGACGCCGACACCGACGGTATTACATAAGCTCCTTCAACTTCGTTGAGGTGAGCTAAAAATACCTTATGACATGAAAGTGTCCACAGCAAAATTGAAATATCAGAATTAACATTTTTTGTGTATTCTCTATTGTAAATTTATGAAAAATCAAGTTATTTGATATTCCAGCATACAAATAAGAAAGGGAAATCTTTACAGGTCAAATTCAGACAAGATTTCTCCTTACAGAAGTTTACCTTTTCAATGAAATCAAAACACTTCAGATCAAAAAATAAATTTGGTGTTCAATTTTATTTCAAACATGTAGTCAATCTGATCTGAAAACAGAAAAGAGAGTGTTATTCAGAAATTGTAATAAAAACTAACACAGAACTTTTGAGGGTTAGATTCGAACAACTATCTAATAGATGCTTTACTCATAAATTAACAATAATGCTGAAAATTAACAATAATGATGAAACAAGAATCATTCTTAGACTTCAATTGTTTGTTTAAATGACAATTTCTTTCTTTAAAAAAAGAAAAATTAAAAATTATATATATGTATAAAATGTGTACATCGTATTTCTGAGAATGCAAAGATATAAATATAAAACTTACTGAAACTACATGTTTGTCTTCCTGGCCCTTCTCACTCCCGGCCAGTCCTAGTCCACTCAGTCTCCTCCTCTTGAGTGTCCCGGCCAGTCCTAGCCCGGTCAGGCTCCTCTTGAGTGTCCCGGCCAGTCTCCTCTTGAGTGTCCCGGCCAGTCCTAACCCGGTCAGTCTCCTCTAGCGTGTCCCGGCCAGTCCTAGCCCGGTCAGTCTCCTCTTGAGTGTCCCGGCCAGTTAGAGCCCGGCCCATCTCCTCTTGAGTGTCACAGTCAGTTAGAGCCCGATCATTCTCCTCTTGAGTGTCCCAGTCAGTTAGAGCCCGGTCAGTCTCCTCTTGCGTGTCCCGGACAGTCCTAGCCCGGTCATTCTCCTCTTCGTGAGTGTCCCGGCCAGTCTTAGCCCAGTCAGTCTCCTCTTGCGTGTCCCGGCCAGTCCTAGCCCGGTCAGTCTCCTCTTGAGTGTCCCAGTCAGTAAGAGCCCGGTCAGTCCCCTCTTGAGTGTCCCGGTCAGTCTCCACTTGAGTGTCCCGGTCAGTCCTAGCCCGGTCAGTCTCCTCCTTTTGCGTGTCCCGGCCAGTCCTAGCCCGGTCAGTCCCCTCTTGAGTGTCCCGGCCAGTGAGAGCCCGGCCAGTCTCCTCTTGAGTGTCCCAGTCAGTTAGAGCCCGGTCACTCTCCTCTTGAGCGTCCCGGCCAGTTAGAGCCGGGCCGGTCTCCTCTTGAGTGTCCAAGTCAGTTAGAGCCCGGTCGGTCTCCTCTTGAGTGTTCCGGCCAGTCCTAGTCCAGTCAGTTTCCTCCTCTTGAGTGTCCCGGCCAGTCTTAGCCCGGTCAGGCTCCTCTTGCGTGTCCCGGCCAGTCCTAGCCCGGTAAGTCTCCTCTTGAGTAACCCGGCCAGTCCTAGCCCGGTCAATCCCCTCTCGAGTGTCCCGGCCAGTCTCCTCTTGAGAGTCCCAGTCAGTTAGAGCCCGGTCAGTCTCCTCTTGAGTGTCCCGGCCAGTTAGAGCCCGACCAGTCTCTTCTTGAGTGTCCAAGTCAGTTAGGGCCCGGTCAGTCTCCTCTTGAGTGTCCCGGCCAGTCCTAGCCCGGTCAGTCTCCTCTTGAGTGTCCCGGCCAGTCCTAGCCCGGTCAGTCTCCTCTTGAGTGTCCCGGTCAGTCCTAGCCCGGTCAGTCTCCTCCTTGTGAGTATCCCGGCCAGTCCTAGCCCGGTCAGTCCCCTCTTGAGTGTCCCGGCCAGTTAGAGCCCGGCCAGTCTCCTCTTGAGTGTCCCGGCCAGTCCTAGCCCGGTCAGTCTCCTTCTTTTGAGTGTCCCGGCCATATGTGACTTATACGAAGCGCACCAGTTGGACGACACTGGATCCTTATACATTTTAATGTCAGATGGCATCGTCCACATCTTTTTGTTTCGTTCAACTGCGGCGTGCATCCTTTCCACGATGTTTAACATAGGCGAAAAGGCTTTTATATCCTTCAACTCCATGGTTACAGACTTCCCATGTATGTTGTCTGTTTCAGACATGAAAATCTTTATGAGAAATTAAGTACAAAAATTTCAATTCCTACGTAAATACTAGCATATTTCAAACAAAATGTACATCATTATATAAATAATTTGTGATAAAATGTACATAATTAGGGTACGACTATTTTATTCTGAGGGGGGGGGGGGGGGGGGCCCTGGCAGATTTTGGAAATAAATAATCTGTCCCTGATAATGTTGAAAATAAATAATCTGTCCTCCTCTGCAAAGAAATAAATAATCTGACCTTGACTTATGATATTTAAATATTGTGAAAATACCTTTTTATTTCCGTGTAATTTAACCTCAGAATCTTCAATTCAGCATTTTTTTGGCTCGCTTCCCTCACCAATTTAGAACCAAATAATATTTAAAATCAGATAACCAGACTGGATACTTGTAGTCAGTTGATAAACATGACAATGTGCACTCAGTAGATGTGATGAATCACTTTAATAACAAGCCAATATTCTTAAGGTAGTTCTATACTCGGCACTAAATGGGCTCAATCCTTAAAAATCTGCTTTTATAAGATAGACATACATCCCAGCAATGGACAGACACAAGAAAAATTATATGTCAACATGTTCACTTTTCCGCCCAAAGCCTTTCGGAGTTTATACCCCGAAATGTAAAAGACTGAAATTTTACCTATCCTAGATTTTGTTGTATATAAATTAATTTAAGTCTAAATATTCAACTTTAATACCAAAATAGAGAAGAAACATGTTATTAAACAATAAAATATCATTGTTTTGCATGAATTGTTATAAATAGATGCACTTTGTTAGGCTATTGTATCAAAATTTAATGTGAGAAAATATGCTTCACAGGACAATCTCGGTCATTTAAAAAAAATTATGGACTCAAACTGCGTAAATTTGCATTATTCTTTACTAAATTATATTTAAGAAAAATAATAAGCTTAAAAAAAATATATGTTGACGCATTACTTTTCGTGGTATGAGCTCTACACTAAAGGGACCCCCCTATTTTCTTTCTTCCAGAAGTAATATATTGCTACATATTTCTGTAATACTGTTAATGTTTGAGTGTATAGTTGTATTAACAAGGTTGTACATTATTTAAAACAATAATTATACACACCCAAAACCTATTGTCCCTAAAATTTATCTTATTTTACTCAAAAAAAAAAAATAAATAAATAAACACACTTGTCTTTAAATTGGAGACGATGAAAATGAAAGGAATTCACTGATTCTCAGAAACTGGATGATTTTGTTACAGAAAGTAACAAAGTATGCTGCAAGTGAATCAACTTTTGTCATTTACTTATTCAAAAGATAATTTTGCATTGGGATTCGTGGGTAAGCAGTTTGGGGGAGGGGAGTATGTGTTTTATGCAATTATTATTTAAAGTAAATTTTGTAATGTTTGATTAGTAAAATCTATAAATTTTCTAAGTCAAATCTTAATCATTACTTTTCTTCCGAATTGTGATATCACTATTAGCTTCAACTTGGCCGCCGACAATAGTCGCCTCGATAGTTTGATACATGTTCTGATGTAGCATGTATATGGTCCGTGTTTTCGACGCAGCATATAAAACATGCATCATTCACAGAAATATCGTTTTATAACCTAATTATTTCTGTCAACCGAAAGTTGTTCCCAGCCTTTTCTTTTTAAATAATTTATCCTTAAACTGTAGAATATGTGTTTGTTGACGCGACCGACTTCGAGCAAAATCGTTACCGGATATTTAAAACGCTAAGTAAAAGTCAAACCAATATAGTTAAAAACTCTCATCTCGGAAAAAGGAAGCGCGGTTCCGGTTTTACTATTCGTAAATGACGTAGTGCGAGTATAGACCTACTTTAAACACCACAAAAGATAAATTTTCTTTTCAAAGAATTATACTTACCGATAAATTAATACAAAGTATACAGTGGCGGATTGAAGGAAGGCATACATATGTATGACCCCTCCCCTAAAATTTCAAAGTTTGATATGAATTATATTAATGCTGCCATACTTTAGTACAATACCAATATTTTTGTGCCTGGTTTTACTCTTAGAACACACAAAAACCCAGGAGCTTCAGGGGGCTTCGCCCCCTGGTCCCCCTTCATTCAAAGTATGATATGACTAGTATTCATGTCATACTTTGCTACATAATAACCAATTCCACTAATGACTATAATTGTCCTGGTTTTATTCTTAAAATACCCGAAAACCCAAGAGCTTCGGGGGAATTTCCCTCCCTTGGCCTCCACCAGTGCTTCGCCCAGGACCCACTGGGGGCCTTAAGGCTGCCCCAGACCTCTTGCCTGAAGGAAGTTATACACATCCCCATCGTGAATCCGCCTATGGTATATAAATGATTAGTCTTTTAGAATTAATCGATCAAGGTACCCTAAGACAAGAGAAGAAAATAAATAATCTGTCCTCGATAATCTTGAAAATAAATAATCTGTCCTTGACAGGCATTAAAATAAATAATCTGTCTCAAAAAAATTTGCCACCCACCCCCCGCCCCCCTCAGAATTAAATGGTCGTCCCCTTATATAAATCAATAAAATATACTAAGTATTAATTACCTTGTATATGTATCCAGTGCTCTCCAATGTAGAGCATGATGGAAATGCACTTGTTTGCTCCGAACAAGAGCAAGCCATTAGCATTATTTAAGTTGTCCTTTACGGTTTTAGTTTCGAAGTGGAATGCCATGTTGTAAGTGATTTGCTCAGATCATCTCTTCTGCTTTATAATAAACTGTTCTATCACTCATTGTTCTGACCACATCCTACACCAACCTGTCTTTATTTTTCATAAATGTAACGTCACTTAGGACTGCCTCTCTTTATTCTGATTAAATTAATAACACTCATGTCTATCATCATTTCTTTTGAAAATCAAATCTTCCAACATACATGTATATTACTTATCAACTAACACAAAGTTATCGTTAATAAATCTAGGGTTATTTTATAATTACGTGTAAATATTGAAACATATCACATACTGATGTTCTATATTTAATTAAGGGGAAATTTCAAATTAAAGTGAATAAAAGATAAAGTTGAAATTATCCTATAATGATTAAATTACATCATTTTATATTTATATTAAACACAAAGAGGACTTTGACATACGTAAACTTCTTACAAAACCCTGACATATTTTCCCACAGTCGTCCTATTCTGTATCTTCAATACCAACGAAATTTTTTTCTTCATTTAATCAAGTGAAAATTTGAAATTAAAATATTCAAAACATGAAGTTGAAGCCATCACAAAATGACACAATTACATCATTTGATATTTATAGTACATACAACAAGGAATTTGATACAATAGGAGTTAAAATTTGTGCTTACTGAAAAAGAAACTTAAATGAAGGAATAATAAAAGGAAGAAAAGATAATAATAGAGTGAAGTACATATTTATTATCTGAAACATAATGATGCTAAAAACGTTAATAATTAATATAATATGAGTTAAAATATAATATCATATAGTCTATTTATAATCCCTATATAATCTATACAAACGCAAACAGTTCATAACACTACATATTCACCGGATTTTAAGCCGTATTCACTGGAGGGTCAATGCACGTGCAACGGCATTGTGACGTCAAAATCAAAACATCAAACAACGTTGTAAACAGTAGCCGCAATGAGCTACGTATCTAAGCAGGAGAACAATTATTCAAACCTATTTTAGGATATTTTTTTAATATTTGGACGTCTTACACATTGCGAAACTCGGAAAGGAAAACACGGAGGTTACAAACAGTAATCTGGAGACATTTTTTATTTTCAACAAAGGAAGATCGCAAATGAAAATGGTGTCGTCAAAAAGCCTTTAATATATTATCTATTCAAATCCCGACTATATAATAAAACAATTATGGACTCTTTTGGTGTTGAATATGGTTTGTTATTCACCAGAAAAATCCATATTGACCTCGGCTTCGCCTCGGTCACTATGAATATTTTTCTGGTGAATAGCAAACCATATTCAACACCAAAAGAGTCCATAATTGTATAATATCTCATATTTCTTAAGAGACTGCATCGACTTATAAATGGTACGAGTTAATAATTTAGTTTCCCGCCGTTCCTTCGCGTCTCTTCAGTGTTGTTTACGTTTACAGAAAAATGGCAAGATTTACAAGCGTAATGCTTGTTCTATCAGTTCTATGCAATGTTTTTTGTGCTTTCATCAAAAGAATACAGATTAAACCAAGTATGTAAAGAAACGGGGAGTTGTATGTGGGCTAGATATGGGATTTACAGTGGATGTTTGAGCGACGAAGATTTCCAAGACTTTACGATGATGCAAAGCTTGACCTTACATGTTCAAAAGTTCAACTGCTAGTTATTGAATCAACGGATTACACATGTTCATCTACTAAAGAAAACCTAAACGTGAGAAGTAGCATTGATATGTACTTAAATGGAATTCCCTTTGTAAGTATCCCTTTGCATGTTGTCACTCTCTACATATGTATAAGAGATAGCTCAATGACATTACATGAATCCGATTACAGTAGTCCCTCTCTATACATTTAAACTTAAGACGAGTAATAACTAGGATATCTTATCAATTAAAACATTGAATAAACCTCACATAGTGTTATCAGAAGAAGCATTGAGTTTATCTTTTAAAGATGAATAGTTGCTAAATTAAACATCTGCACATCCAGAGCTAGACCATGACCTACATGTTTATGTGTATCTACCATGAAAATAAATTTGTCATTGCAGAGGACAATTACATTTCACAGATAAATATTTGAATAAGTTTTATGAAAATTCTTATCATCTTATTTACTCCTTGACATATCATTTATATGAATTGTCAACACATGACATATATATTATGATAAATAACTATATAAATGTTTAAAATAGATGATAAAGTGTTAGTGTGCATCAGCTATCCTGACAAGTAGATTTAAATTTGGTTTCATTATTTTTAGAGAAATTGCAATATGATTTACTGGATATCTTATAATGTCCATTTTATAAGGGTTAGCAATTTTTTTCAGCACTGGGCAAATGGAGAAACAGCACCTCCATTCTCCAGCTCGCCACCACCTCCGCCTTCATCATTACCATCATCATCATCATCCAATATTAACATCATCATCAGTAAGCCATCATTTACATCCTCATCAATATACAAAACTTTAGTGATTTAGTGTTTTTATAATTATTTAGTAAGTATTCTTGTGTACAGACACATTAAAAAGAAGAAAAAAAAGATCCAACAAGATATAGTTCAAAATCAAAGTAATAATTTTTCCTCATTTGCTTTAAATACCTTTAGTGAGTATACTGTAAATGAAAATGACTATGATTCTATTGCTTCAGTGTCAAGTTAAACTTATTTTCATTAATATTTGCTTGCAGTTTTATCATTATTTTCCACACTTTCATGGATCATTTTCACATGTTTCATTTTGATCATACACTGCAAAAAAAAAAAAAAAAAAAAACCAGACGACTTCAAAGAAGTATTGGTGTGCATGCAGATGTACCCCAAAACATGCCATATCGATCACCAAACTATCAAATCCAACAATCTCTCTCAGAAACAGAAGAAAAATTCTATTCTATTCAAGAAACTGGTGTTTAAATTATGAACTGACAAAAGAAACTTGTACAACATTTTAGGTGTGCTTTTGGCTTATCTTGGATTTATATATCAGAACTACCACAGGGAAATTCATCGCTTCATATTTCGTCTTGCAAAAACTCTATTCCAAAAAATATTTCAACGGAAAAGAAGGAACCCTCAACGCAGAAGGAGGCAACAGCAAGTACCATTAAGGAGGGGGCAAAGACTTAGAAGACCACCCGAACGCTTTGGATACTGACAATGTAAATGTAAAGTAATTTCCAACAAAATGTGTAATAAGCCTCAAACAATAAAAATGCTTCCGTTTCCTGTTCCCAGATTTACCAACATTTTATTCCTGATCCTTAAAAAATTCTCATTTTCAAAGTTGTAAAATGTGAAACTAATTATTATAAATACCTCCAAATAATTTTTTTGGTACATTCATGTACCTATACCTACCTTACCTACATACCCTATTTTATATTTCCTCTGGAGACAACAAACTGGAGTATATTTATTTGGGGTCTTACCTTTTTATTACCTTATAATATTAAGGAAATCTCTGTTTAAAGCTACCTCATATTTAATGTCCATTCAATCATTGAATCTCATTGTTGTTTTCCATATGTGTACTCAGCACAAGTTCACTTAACTTGTTTTAAATGTTTGTTGTTCATGTTTTTGTAGGACTTTTTTTTTATTACAGAACATAAACAAAATAGCTATTAGTTTTTATGCTATTATACAGTTTTAGTACTATTTTTCAGTATTACAGTTTTTGAATTGGTATTGTTGTTTGTACATATTTTTGATACCTTATTATCCTTATGTATTACCAAATATGGTTTTTAGCATGCCAACAATCTTTACAAAGACAAACACTCTGTTCATAGCTACCTCATATTAAATGCTCATTCAACCAGTGATTATCATTGCTGTTTTCTATATCTGTACTCATCACAAGTTCATATTGTATTTTTATTATTTAACTTGATTTAAAAGTGTTCTGTGTGATTTTCTTCTTACAAAAAGTTATGGAGGTAGTTATTAGTAATTTAATTTTTTAGTAGTTTTAGTATATGTACTTTTACATAGTATACATTTTTATGAAGTGTCATGTTTATGGTCTAATGTATAGATTTTGTAATCTAGTCAAGTGAACATATCCTTATATGGTCATTCCAAAAAGTAAAAACAGTATTTTTGCTAGTGTAAACATTCCAACAATATATTTTGACTAAATTATAAATTTGAAGTTATACTTAAGTTTTATAGTTTATTACTAGGTACTGATAATGATTTTGTTTATTATTATTATAACTGATTAAAGACATGGGTATGAAATGTTTTGCTTATGATCTTATAATTCATTTAGATTGTAAACTTTTTAAATCATTGAATAATTTCTTTAAATATAAGTATTCTTAAGGTAGAGTTGATTGTCACTTTGTCAGTACATGTTTTACTTTAATCAGATGTAAAAGCTCAAGTGAATATTTTTACTGTTTTTTATTATTACCTTTTTGAAGTGATTTTTAAGGGCTGGATTAAACGTTAGGAGTGCCCATGTGAAATTCATTCGGATCAAGGGAGACAATTTGAGAATAACTTATTCCAAGGCTTGTGTCGGGTATTCCAGATTTATAAAACCCGGACAACCCCATATTACCCACAATCAAATGGAAAGGTTGAGCGACTAAATCGAACGATAAAAGAAATGTTATCCAAATACATATGTTCAAATCAGACGGACTGGAATCGTTATATAGATTAGATTGCACTTGCATACAATACTTCGCCACACGAAACTACGGGTATGTCACCCATAGGATGGTAATTGGAAGAGAAGCAAAATTAATACTGAATCTCTTGACTGAAAAAGATCTAACAAACAGTGATACCGAAGTCAGTGACGCAGAATATGTGCGCAACTTAAAAAACAAATTAATAGAAATTCATCAACTAGCGAGGGAAACAATGAAAATTAATACCGAGAGACAGAAACGAAATTTTGACAGAAATATACGAGAAGTAACATATGAAATTGGAGATTTAGCGCGCCGTAGTCAACCGAAAATTGTTAAAGGAAGGAAACAAAAATTGGCTAGAAAATGGACTGGATCATGGATTATTGCAAAACGACTATCAGATGTATTATACCAGATAAAACACTAGGAAAATTCGAAACCCGTTATTATTCACTCAGACAATCATAAACGATACCACGGCAGTAAAACTTTATCAGGTGTTAATTATGATGCTGATCCAGAAGACACTGACGTTTTTAGTTTGCCGCTTCCCAATCAGACCGACCCAAGTGTCTCGACACCCCATACGGAAACGACCGAACTTCAAAAGGATAAAAGAAAGTGGAACAGGAGTTGCAGCTTACTACCACCTTGACACGCAGGGGCCTTGAAGTTAAATTTCCAAAACGCTACTTATTGTAACCATTCTTAGAAAAACTTTTAAGAGTAATGCTATGCGAATTTTGTGGAAGAAATATTATAAGAAAGTATAATTTACAACGTCACATTAGAGAAAACCATTTAGACCAACTTATTGTAAACTGTTCTTAATGCCAGCGACCATTTTTAAGAGCGTTCAGAAGATGTCGCAGGAAGAATTACATAAGGCTAAAAAGGCAGTTTTCGTCAGCTCCATGTATGGGGACATAACTCCTGAGAACTCTCCGTCACGTCCCTCAACAGAGAATGACCCAATTAGCGAAGACGAAGATTGGCGGTCCATTGGGTCCGACGTAGAAAATGAGCTTTTAAACTCATCAAACAACGACGAAGTGAATGCGTCTTTAGAGGACATTTTAGATGGCAGTGAGGAGGAGCACTCAAATCTGAATGAACCTAGTAACTCTAAAACAGTGTTAGCATTTCGGACTCGATGCAAAATGACCTTTCCTCAACAACAGTGACAGAAACCATCATTCTCAAAATGACAAAGAAAACCATCTATCACAGTGACGGTAATTCAGAAATAGTTCGGTATACCGAAATCTCCCATTCAGAAACCTGTTATTCCAGATGAAGTGGATCTGGTGAATTTTGAAACTGACATTTTAAATGAAATGAACACTTTCGCAATCGTAACGTGAGAATTGTGAAATTAAATGAATGAAATCTATTGTAACTGACTTATATGTAAATATTGTGAACTTATGCTGTGAATGTGTAAAATCATAATTTTATTGTCATTTATGTCTTAATTTATATAGTTTCATCGTTTGGTTTATATTATTCACAGATGTCACAGTGTACAATCAGATTTATTTTCATTAATATTTTTTGAGTTATTGATATTATTTTTTTTTTAAAAAATAAAAGTGTATAAAACGGTTTGTTATACTCAATCTGATACACAGTTTGTATACTGGTGTAGCATGGGCTTGTGTTTGTACAATAATTTAATGTCTCATAATGTTTAATATGTTTATACAGTGTGTGTCACACCGCCCAGCACATTAGGTAAAGGTCTAATTTTGTCCAGGTGTGAACCCCTCTCATACCCAAGAACAAAAACTCTAAATACAAGCTCATTATAGAAAAAATCTTATTCAGAACCAAGCATGAATTCAAGAGCATTGGAAAAATTTTCAGACCAGAAAGACGTCTTCTGAGTGACACAGTTTTCAAAAATCTTTTGATGATTAAAATGAACTCAAAACTGTAAAACATTTCAGTTCATAAAGCCTTGTATATCTCAGTGCTGTTTTATACATATATTTATTCACGAGATTTTTTTAAAAAATAAAACTCACGTATTGAAATGTATTTAATAACATAAGTCAAAGTAATTGAAAGTAATTCATTACATTAATTTGAAAAAATCAATGTAATTATAATTGCAAGTAATTGACAAAATTATCAATGTATATGAAAGTAATTAATTACATTTCAAAGTAATTGATTCCAAGCCTGTTTAGAACGTATAGGAAACAAAAGCAAAAAAATCATCTATTAAGAAAACGAGGGCCATCTCAGATTCACCGATAAATTGTTTTTATAACTATGTGCTTTCCTTAACCAGTTACAAAAGTAATTGTGTGAAAATCTTTCATTATTGAGCCTTGTGATGCAGTGGTATTGGAATTTTTTTAGCTTACAATTTGATTACCATTCTCAATGCATGTATGTCCAGTATGATGTCCAAAGTATGAGAGAATACCGAATATATTCAACGGACATTCCTTCCTTTTTTAAGAATAAACCAAAGTTCTTCTTGGAGCACAACACTAGTAGAATTCCTCCGATGAACAGTTATTTACCTCAATCTTCTATTGAACTGTTACCAAATGGGGAGTTCAAAGTTGAAAGTACAGAGTGTCAAAGGCATTTCAATGTTGACTCTGATAGTGACTTGCCGTGCTGTAGCTGTCCAGACTGGAAGGGAACCCACCTCCCCTGTAAACATATGCTCAGCATATTCTTCCATTTCCCAGCTCAAAGCATATACAGATTGTCCTCACTTTGACCTAGACTCGGATATTCTTGTCCTCACTTTGA